AACTGCTAAGGCCTCAAGGAAAGGTTTTACATGGCAGGTAAAAGTTCAAAGTATAAAACTAAACCATTACATTCAGAGATCCACACTTACAAAAGGTTTACATAGAGTGGGTTGCTCAAGGTCTGCACAGAGCAAAAAGATATCCTTTGTATTTCTTGCTCAAAATGATGAATGCTTAATCCTCAATATACATGGGTAACAAAATGAAAATGATTGCCATATTTAAGGGTCTAGCAATATCTATATATGGGTTTTACAGTAAGGATAAAATTATTTTTAATATTAAGAAAAGCTTCATGTTAGAAAATTAGTGCCCAGAGATTGTTTGATCACTGATACAGAATGTAATTCATTTAATAATGTACAGTATTTTTTCTTACACAATGGTATTTGGGAGAAGAATCTGTAAAAATATGCACCAAATGTGCATTTTTCTAAGTTTGACATGGTTATTTTTTAATTCAATCTGGTTACATACACACATATTTTAAACTTTCTTCCACTGGGGGGGAAAAAACTCACATATACTCAATACAAAATACTACAAAAGGTAATATAATTCTCCCAATTGAAAGATATTGGGATAAAAGTTTCTAACTTGAGAAAGTAGCCATAACATACACTAAAAAAATGAATGTACAATTTCAGGAACAAAACAGAAAAATAACATAGCTCTTTATAGAACAGTCTACTTTAATTATGGTAAAATTCACGATGTAAATGAAAGAGCAACATGCCCTGTTGAACAGAGCTGAAGAGCTTGCAAGAAATTTCATCTGATACAATTTTGGTTTTTAATCTTTAGTTAGACACAAGACCAGAGGGGAGGGGGGAAATACCTATCTCAACAGTGACCTCTAGTGGACAAGTGTTGAAATGGCTGTTTCCAAAATAAATACATAAAATTTTGTCAAAGACTGAAAAGGAGTAGGAAAACATTTACCAAACTAACACTTGCAAACACTACACGAAGAAGGATAAGATTAAAGCGCAGACTGAAGAAGACTTAGCTAACACTGGCTTACAAGGGAGGGTAATCACAAAGGCAGCAGGTGGAGGGCAGGACAGACAGAGGAAGATAGACTGGAATAACTGCTATGCTTCCTTCTTTAGAAACCCAAAGCCAGCCCTTGGGTGTGTCATCTCAGTCTGCTGGGACCTGACACAATTCATCAGCTACCAACCTATTAATTCTCTGGTATGAACTGAGTACCTATTTCATGTTCACCGTGCTTTGGGCACTGCTGTGGGGGGTAGGATGCTAACACAGCATCAGACAGGGCTCCTCACCTCAAGAAACATATAAAATGGTTAATTATATGAAAATCGTAGTAAATAATTTGGGAGCTTAAATACCGTATATAAAACTAACTTTAAGTGAAAGAGTAACAGGCCTAGAAGCCATAAGACCTAAGGTGCTAGAAGGACGCCAGCCGTGCCAGCCTGCCCCGCCTGCGGAGCCCCGGGCACACGTGGGGGGGCCATCCCGCACACCGTTCAAGTCTGGAAGGGCCCCAATAACTACAAAGATGATGTGATACAGATTTCCAGGACACGAGGTCATGTTCTTTTAGATCTCACACAGCACAGCACTCTGAAATAAGCCCATGAGTTAGAAACAGAAGTTTGTGATGGTCACGTCTGCTCAAGCCCCCGAATACTGGGCCAGCCTGAAAAAAACCATCCCGTTCCTACACTGACCACTTCACCTCAGGCCACCTTTCTTCCCTGTCATCGACTGCTTCCTTCTAGCAGCTGCTCTGTAGAGGTCATTGCTGAGAAGCCACTATGTGCTCAGCAAGAATAGGACATGAAAGAAGAATAGGACATGGTCCTGCTTTCAATAAAGCCTAAGAGATCTCTTTGGAGAGAGAAGAAACATGAAGCAACAGAAGGATAAAGAAGTGCAACGCTGGTGTAAAGAATCTATGAACAGTAAGAGTTTGGGGAAGAAAGATTTCAAGATGGCCAGGGTGTCAGGGAGCCTGGAGGGGAGGATGAGGGCAAGGCTACTGCAGCGTAGAAGGGATGGGGCAGGTGACCGGGGGCAGGGCAGGGTTAGGCACAGGGAGAGAAGATAAAGAAATCTTCCTGCGGCAGCAGTGGGGAGGAAAGGCTGGCTGTGGGATGTGGGCCAGAGCAACGCCTTCTACTGGGCATGTGCGGCATTGCAGGGAAAGTGGAGTTTCTGAAGGGTTGGCCTGGTGGCGAACCTCATCTTGACTCTGAAACCACTCCTACTGGGCCAGAAAGAACCTCTGCTGGGTTCCGAGACTGCACCTACAAGCTTCAGAGCTGCTCAGCCTCCCACCTCCTTAAGTACGTCCTGGACATGCACGTAGCTAGGACAGTGGTTGTAGGCAGGGCAGTCTGCCACTGACGTCCCGTTTCCCAAACCATCAATACTGCCCAACCCCCTACGTTTACATTTCAGTAATGTCACTGTAGTAATGATGAACTTCTAACAGTGACTAGAGTTTGACAATTTTGAGATATTTTTTATGACCTGTAACTTAGAAAACATCAAGGATTTACGCTCACAAAATCTGGAGGGATTCAAGGAGCGTCAGCCCACTTCCACCCTCCTCGTGGCCCCACTTCCACTGCGCTGAGTGGACCTGTCCATGTCAAAGCCACCCGCAGGGACAGAAAGGTAACTCAACGCCACAGTGTTCAAATGGCCCCCTAAATACTGACTCAAGTGCGTGGCATCAGCCAGTGTCCCAGATCAAGGCCCCAGTTTGAGTAAGCCGGTCATTCACTCGGTAATCCAAAGTGGAAATTTCAGAGAACAGCGTAACTGGCATGCTACGAGAAAAACACAAATACTTTTGCAAGATAAAAGCAGTGCTGAGGGGTTTATGTTTTGAGTCCCTGTGGTTTTAACGTAGCACTGCCAGCCAGTCCCTATTAAAACCCAGAGAAAGTGAAAAACACAGATTACAGTAACACATGACAGGAGGGCGTGCTCGGCCACTTACACATAATGCATATTTATATTGCCATCGAATGGACATATTTACTATCAACACTTGAAAAGCCATTGCAAAGTCATTCATTTAAATGCCAGCACAACAGTAGAAGATGCTAATTTGACCTTAGTAGAACAGACCGGGTGTCACTGACACTACTCACATTGGCATGAAACAGAATTTACCAAGACGATTAATTAGAGTTTATTGGATAAGAGTGTCTCAAATGGGAAAAAAAGAAAAAAACAAAACAAGGAAGGAAGAAATATGAAGTTGGATCCATTCAGTCAACCTCCTTACAGATACAATTTAACTTGATATCTGTGCACCTCTAAGTTAACATCTCATCATACGCCTGGAGAAAGAAACTGATCCACGGATCCCTGAGATTTCTATCTTTGTGTACATATAAAAAGAAATAAACTACAACTGTCTGAAAGATATTTTAAAGAACAGATCAATTAATTAAATGAGAGGAATAAAGCAAGTTTTGCTTTCTTGTTTAAATGTACAGTATTTCACTCTAATGATGATGCAGATCTAACAATGTAAGCTTGGCAATTAAGAAATATTTTTATGCTCTGGCCGGTGTTGCTCAGTGGTTCGAGCATTGGCCCGTGGACTGAAGGGTCTGGGGTTTTATTCCTGGTCAAGGGAACATACCTGGGTTACAGGTTCGATCCCGGTCCCCTGCAACCAATCAATATTTCTCCCTCCTATCAATGTTTTTCTCTCTTTCTCTCTTCCTCGCTCCCTCTCTTCTACTCTATCTAAAACTCAATGGAAAAATATTCTCAGGTAAGGATTAATTTAAAAAGAAAGAAAGAAATATTTTGATCAACTATGGGATATAGAGTTCTGGGAATTCTGCTCACAAAATCTTGGGGAATTTAGGAATCATGCCGTCCACCCTCCCCAACAAACAGCAAGTGCCCTCTGACTGGGATTAGCTTCTTGGTGGACAGCAGAAACAATAACAGCAGCTGCATGTCACCTGTTACAACAAGGATCACCCGTGACTTGCAGCCCTCACTTTCAGCTTCTGTGGCCCCTGCTACTAACATGTGACAATTGTGCCACTCCGCCTTTGCCTTACGAATATGTGCTTTTGGCTAAAACTGAACTAATCGGCCTGTCTCCTGCACACAAGGGGCCCTGCCCCTCCTAATTCTCAGTAACCAACAGCTCTGTGACGCCGCTTCAAGCCGTATATAATGCACATAAATTCACAGCACAAATCCCTCAAGATGACATTCTGCTCAATTTCATTGGGCTCGGAAAGCTCCCGAACAAATTCTTGCCACATGATTAGAAAACCACTCAAGTCTGCAGGAAATATGGCAAGCACGAAGAAGTGACAGTCAATTAGGAAAAAGAAAGGGGAGAGGGGCCCTGTCATTAAGATCTTTAAAGCCACAGCTCTGAGAATAAAAGGGCCCATATCATTCGTGCAAGATACTCTTATAAAAGTCAGTATTAATTCTCCTATATGTTAACCATACCACGACACTACCAATGTGCAACAGAAACCATACTCAAGAATTTTTTTTAAATGCAGATTCAAATTTATATAATTTGTGCAACTTTGTGGTTTTTTTCCCCCTATTAAGCAGGGAAGGAAAGTACACCAACAAGTAAATTTTCCCCTTTGAAGAGCAAGTGTCAATGAAAGCAAAAAACTCTTATTCTAATTACTTATTTTGAATTTTTTTCATGAAATACTCATGAATGGGCCAGCAGTGCAGGTCACTGCCGCATTTATCATCCCTGACTGGGACCATGTGCAGAGAAACAATGTCATTCTCCTTCTTCAGTTTACACACACAATAGGAAAGACTCCTCAGAATAGAGCCCAGTACAAAGTATGGGAAGTCAATATGCTCATGTGTCTTAGTGTCACCAAAATAAATTTTAGGTTTCCCCAAACAAACATTTGTCATTATTGTCTTTAAAGGAAACAAAAGAGTCAGCAGTATCACCGCATCACCTACAGGTCAGAAACCGAAACGAATGATCAAGTCAACTCACTTGTCAGCTTGTTGTGGCTGAGGACCAGTTGTGTGATGTGGGACAAGGAGACTGTAAAAGAAAAGAAAAACCACAGTCAGTTAATGCATCCAAAGTACAGTTACACTCCTACAAGGTAAAGTGCTAAATCATTTCCGCAGGATCAAGTGTTGTTGCTCACAAAACTAGACTCAAGGATTCCGATAACGCTGTCTGTTAAATGTTAAGCCAAATTAACAAAAGTCCCGCAATTAGTGGTGCAATCAGCACAGCAGGTTAGAGCTAATAAGATTAATGGCACAGGATCAGACGTTACAAGGGCCAGTCGGCTCAGCTTGGAGACCTGGCTGCTGCTGGCTCAGCCTCAGTGATCCATCTCAGTAACTGTGCCCGTCAGGGAACCAGCCAAGAGCGTGGGGAGACACGGGGCCCTTGCCAGAGCTAAAAAACCATCATATCAAGACAAAGATCACCCAACAGAAGACTGGCAGCACCTTATTTCATCTATGTCCACTGTCAACCCAGAAATTCTTCTACACACTATCAGATGGTCAGAATTTTTTAAATGCCCTCTAAAAAAAAGTTTGGTTGACATTTTAATGCACCCACAGACTGTGCACCAGTTTTCAAATATTATCATTGAGGTTTAATCTGCTGCACAAGGTTAGATTTGCTTAGAAGATGGTTCTTCCAACTATAAAGAAAATATATATATACAGATCCACCAAAATAAAAAGTTCCAACAAAAAAGGGACCTGCCTCCCATTTATTTTGGGTTCTAAAACTTCACTGTATGATCAGCATGATACACACACACACACAACATTAATGCAGTTTTAAAATACAGTAGAGTTTTTTCCTTAAGGAGACAAGAAAGCAAAAATTCTCAAGAAGGGTCACAGTGTTGGACCCCAGGCTTAGAAGGAAATGAGTATCACTCCCAACCACAACTATTGCGTGTTTTTCTTTTTTTAACCATCATAATGCTATAGAAAACTTTACAATACAGTATAAAAACCTATTTTCCTGCCCTGAACCATTGAGTTTAAGCTGCTGGCCCGATACCCCATAAACTTTGGGTATTTTTACAGACATTCTCCTACATGACCATGACACACAACCATCAGTGTCAAAACTTAAGATGATACATCATTACCACCTAATCCTCAGCCCTCATCTGAGTTTCACCAACGGTCTGAATAATTTCTTATATAAAAAAGGACCCAGCTCAGAACCCATGATACATGTAGCTTAAACTACCTTTAGCCCAAGTATCTCTTTTGTTGACTTTAACAACCTTGGCAATCATGAACCTTGTAGGCCCCATTATTTTGCAGTAAGTCCACCATATGGATTTGTCATTTGTTTCTGGTTTAGGTTTATGTTAAGCATCTTTTACAGGAATATGGAAGAAATGCTGTGTTCTCATTGCACCCTGTCAGGTGGCACACAATTTCCGTTTGTCCTGTCGCTGATGACCTTACCTTGACCACTTATGTCTGTCAGGCTTGTCCACTATCAATTTCTTTACCCCTTTGTAATTAGTTTTTTTTTTTTGCGGGGGGGGGAGGGGCGACTTTAAAACTATATAAATATCTGTTCCACATGTATTTCATGGTCCCCAACCCGGGCAGTTTTGACCCTCGCGGGACATTTGGCAATATCTGGAGACGTTTTTTATTCTGACAACAATGGCCACTGAGGAATGTAAACTTCATATGGGGCCTAAAGCAGTGGCATCTAGAAGGCAGGGGCAAGGGATGCTGCTGAACATCCTACTATGCATCCCGCACAACAGACTCATCCAGTCCAAAATGTCAATGATGTTGCTGTTGAGAACAGTGATTTATTTATCTCTGCATGGCTTTGTGGTTTCCCGTCTTAGTCGGTGGGTTCCAGTCTGTCCTTATTATGTATGCTGATGCTCAAACCGTCCCAGTTGGCCAGCGGGAGCCCATCCAGCCTGGCTGCTAAGCCCCCCTGGTGTGCCCCATCACGCCCTGGGCACTTCCTTGCTTTCTGGCACAAGATATCCAAGCTCATCTCGCACTTCTTCTGCCTCGGCCCTGGAATCAGCCATTTCTACAATGAGCTCTGGTTCTTTTATGTGGAAAATATATATGAGCCAAAATCTGGGCACTAGATGTGCTCATTGCTATCCAGAGGCTCAGTATTCTCTGCCCCTCTTAGTGGGCAGAGCCAGAGAACACACACACACACACACACACACACCCCGCAAACTGACTTCACTATTTATACTATTGAAAAACCATGAGTTTACACCAACAAATTTAATTTCAATACGGCATGACATAATTCATTCAAGTTTCTTCCTTTCCATATTTATAATTCCCTTCTCCAACAGTGAGAACTCCATTACCTTTAACCTACGTACTTATTTCATCAATACCTCTATATTTAACTGCACAGAATTATCTTATAGCTTATGCTTATCTGCAAGGAAACCCAGAAGTCCAGTACTGATTCTTGGTCAAGAGCAGGCGAGTAGATTGGCTAGAGATGTGTAATATTCTGTTTAAAGTTGAAAATGGCCCAGAAGTCCCCAGAGCCAGCTGTTCACATGTTTAGGAGCATGCAGATTGATGGCTTCCACCTGGCTACAGGTGCATGACCATTCGGGCATAAAAGACACTGCTGGATATTTTTGGCTGGGCTTTCCTGAAGCCCTGATTCTTCCTCATGTCTTATAGTTTGTATCTGGAGGTACAATATGTTCTGAGCAACTAACAAACCACCCTATGGAACTACCAGTGAGCCTCTCAGACCCCTGAGGCTCACCTGTATTTTCTTACTTTTGCTAAACCACGTATGCTGTGGATTGTCCTCGTCCTTTCAATCCAGTACAGTAATGCAGTAAGTGATCTCCCTTCCTCCCTTCCTCCCTTCCTCCTACCTGAACACCTTTGCACTCTGCTCACTCACCCTCCTCACCTGCCCTCACCCTCCTCCCCTGCCCTCACCCTCCTCACCTGCCCTCACTCTCACCCTCCTCACCTGCCCTCACCCTCACCCTCCTCCCCTGCCCTCACCCTCCTCCCCTGCCCTCACTCTCACCCTCCTCACCTGCCCTCACCCTCACCCTCCTCCCCTGCCCTCACCCTCCTCCCCTGCCCTCACCCTCCTCCCCTGCCCTCACCCTCACCCTCCTCCCCTGCCCTCACCCTCACCCTCCTCCCCTGCCCTCACCCTCACCCTCCTCACCTGCCCTCACCCTCACCCTCCTCCCCTGCCCTCACCCTCACCCTCCTCACCTGCCCTCACCCTCCTCCCCTGCCCTCACCCTCACCCTCCTCCCCTGCCCTCACCCTCACCTTCCTCCCCTGCCCTCACCCTCCTCACCTGCCCTCACCCTCACCCTCCTCCCCTGCCCTCACCCTCACCTTCCTCCCCTGCCCTCACCCTCCTCCCCTGCCCTCACCCTCCTCCCCTGCCCTCACCCTCACCCTCCTCCCCTGCCCTCACCCTCCTCACCTGCCCTCACCCTCACCCTCCTCCCCTGCCCTCACCCTCACCCTCCTCCCCTGCCCTCACCCTCACCTTCCTCCCCTGCCCTCACCCTCCTCACCTGCCCTCACCCTCCTCCCCTGCCCTCACCCTCACCCTCCTCCCCTGCCCTCACCCTCCTTGCCCTGCCTGGCTTTGAATCTCCCCAGCCAGCCTCGCCACTGTTCTTCTCACCCTACTCTAGGCCATCATCATGCCCCCCCAAACCCTGACCACCTTTCTTTTTTGTCCCACTTACTGGCTTTAGGACTAAACAACTATGGAAGGGGGAAGAGAAAGGCAAAGTGGAAGGAGAAGAGCATTTTTGTGGTTTTTAAGAGTCACGACAGTGGCTTCTCATGTGACATTTAAGATTTAGACACTAAGGAGCATCTCATACATTTTTACTTACAAGAGTAAAGATTGTCTTGTCCACCAAATAAAGCATTCCTTTATCTCTGTGTTATATAGACTAGTAAACAAATATCTCAAAGAGCTGCCCTACCAAACAACATGAAATGGATTCAGAGATGTATCAGTTGAGACTATGATCAGCTTCATGTGAGAACCAACCAACCACAAATAACAAAGGTTACACAAGGCAGGTGTTTCTCCCTCATTCACACACAGCCAGTCCAGAGGTTCCTGGTATCTTGCTGCTCAACCATCCCCAATGCATGGATTCCACCTCATGGTCCACAGTGGCTGCCTGAGCTTAGCCATCATGACTGCATTCCTTTCAGGAAGACAGGGTGGGGGGGAGCCTTCCTCCTTTAGAAAACTTCCAAGAAGTTACATATGCTACCTCTACTTACAAGCAATTAATGACAATTTTGTAATTAAGTCATGCCTACCTGCAAGGGAGGGAGGGAAATGCAGTCTCTGTTCCAGGTGGCCAAGTGCCAGCTAAAATCAGGGGTGTTATCACCAAGAAAGATGGGGCAAGCTGAAACCAGCAGGCAACTAACCACCTCTCACACTAACAGACTACGCCAATTCAATGTCACAGAAATCAACTGTGACTACAAAAGAAAACTGATAATCCTATCTCCTCCTGTCTTATTTTTTCCTAAAACATCACACCTAACTAATTAAAAAGAAAGAAACTTTGCTCTTCTCCCGGCTAACATTCACATTGAAAGATTTAATTAGGGAGAGCTGGTTCTTTTCAATTATTTCATTGTGTGGTTTCAACAAGCATTTAGCAAGAAATAAAGTGGTTAAACGCATAAGTTTCTTTTTTTTTTAATAGAGAACAGAAATCCAGTTGTTGCTTCAGCTGATTACATCACTGGAATGTATTTTTGTCTTTCTCACTGTTGTTACAGGGCTACATGCTAAAGTAGGTAAGAGGGAGAAAAACTAGAGCGGAAAAGAAAAAGTTAATAAAAGATCTTAGAGGAAATATTTAGGGCAACAAGGACTCCGGGCTGGGGCGCGGGGAGAGCAGTGAGGCTCCAGAATCAAAAGCACAGAGCCGATCACAGAGCCTGGAGCAGGAAAGACCGAGTCCGACAGGCACACTCATACAAGCACCGCTCCCTCCCACTCGGCAACTGGGAGCTCAC